TGGGAGAAGGGGATGTTGGGGGAAAGGAAGTGGTGTTAACAAACCCAGGGACAAGGGAACAACAAGTGATCCAAATTGGTGGTGAGGTGGGTGTGGGAGGCCTGGTAGGGGGCTGTAATTGTTTATGGGAGTGACGATGTAGTGGTTACACATTTGGCTGAGATCCCCATCGTCTGCAGTTCAAAACCCCCAGCAGTTCTGCGGGAGAAAGACTGGGCTTTCTACTCTCATTGGGACTAGAGTATAGTTAATGAAAGGAGTGTAGGAGAGGTGACATTAAAGAGGTTGAAAATTGGTTGCCATACAGAGCCTCTTGGCTATCCCAAGGGCTTTAGATTAGATTTTTAAATGGGAGACTGATTGTAGCTCAGAAATAAATGACCTTTTCAAGAGACCTGTAGGAACTCTGAGGTATCGATAGAAAGAGGATCAGTTAGCTATCTATAGAAATAATCCAGGAAGGAATTGATAATATCAGGAAACATGATGCTCCATGCAGAGATTGGCAGCTATGGTGAGAATCTCTCTCAGTTTTAAGGAAAAGCGAGCATAGATGTTCATAAATCCCTTCATTATCTCATAAATTAGAGCACCTAAATAATATCTATTATATTTTCCAAATAAAGATCTAATAAAAGCAATTCCTTCTTATCATTCTATTATTCTTTTGTAAAAGCACAGTACAATTTAAATAAGAATAACACATGAAAACAGGTTGTTCTTTGTGCTTTTTGGAAACAAAATTTATAGACTATGCATCTGTTAAATAAAAGTGTATTGTAGTGTGTGTGTCAGGGGGCCGTGTTTATACACTACAAGTAGATCTTAGACTTTATTAAACATGACAGTATACATCTTATGCAAGCGAAATAATAAGAAAACAATCTATTGGGGAAAACTTTGTTTAAATAATTGCAGCTCTTTAAACTGAACAGTATTTTTTTCCACATCAAAGACTATTCATGCATATATGCAGTAAGTTCCCAAGCATTCCTACCCTGAATTTATCTTTGGGACTTCCAGAAAAAGAGGTGTGTAATAATAAAAATGCATGTAAGCATTAAGGATAATTTTTCTTTTGAATAATTATCTTCAAATTGGTTTTTAAGTATCACTTTCAGTATTTCTGCATAGAATTGCAATGCAAGCTATGTGACAAAAAAATCAAATTTATACAGGAATTGGGTTATATATGAATTTTATGTTACGTATTCAAATAACTAGCTGTTTCTTAAACATCAATTATTTTAATATTTTGCTAGAAGAATTTGAGATGCAGTGGAAAAATGAAGCAAGATATGTTTATTTATTTGGAATGGTATTTTTTTCTTTTATTTTAAAAAATCTCACATAAAAATACACTGCTTCAGGTTCTCTGAAGCGCAAACCCTCGGTATTTTTATCATCCAGAGAGTTTATTAACCGGGTTTTATATTCCACCCCCTCACATTGGTTCTCCATGGAGGGAGGGCCTAAGGGACCTAAAAAAAAAAGGTTTATGGGAGATGAGAAGGGCTAAGTAAGCCATTATCACTTTTTACAAAAATTCTTAACTTGGATTCATTTTATGAGCGCTGTGACAGAATGCGGTCTCACTGTGTCGGTTTGAATTCACAATAACATTATGAACTTCATACATCTCTCCCAGGGAGAAGAGACGTTATTTCCCCCAAAGCAAGGGCTCTTACTCTACTCATGTTCTCATGCTGCAATCATATGTCTCTCTCTCTCTCTCTCTCTCTCTCTCTC